TAGCATTTAGGGTCTAGGGTTTAGGATTTAGGGCCTAGGGTTTAGGGTTTAGGACTTAGGGTCTAGGGCTTAGGGTTTAGGCTCATTTAAGTGACTATATTGGGGAAACCATATGCGTTGCTATGAATAAGAAAATATGTATATGCACCCATTCTATTCTGGTAATTGACTTTAATTTAAGTTCCTTAGCAGCAACCCAATGTCAGCGACCTTGTCCCAGCTAGGCACCGTATGGTTCTAAAAAGCCCTGCATGACCCCAAGTATGCTAATACTATACCATAACTTCTTGGGCTTAGGTATGTGCCATCTACGGGCAGATACACATTACACATAGGCATGCTATATAATACAATCAGCCTCTGGGATGGTTACTGGCCTCTAACGATTGGGTTCCCTCTGCGGGATCTTGCAATTGCAGGGCACAGCTCAGGACAGCCCCTCAGGAATCTCAGAATCTCTGCGTAGCCTTGCTGATAGTAGTGCCATCAAGCATGCAGCTCCTACACAGAATCATACAGGGTCATGGATGATTCGCCCCTTAACGTCCGCCAGGCATCGGGAGAGTTGTCTGGATACCGTGCGGTAACGCTCGCATCTTGCAATTTTTTGATATCGCAGGGGTGCGCGCGTTGTACTCCCCCTTCTTGATAAAACCAAAAGCATGGCGAAGGCTCCATGGAATCCAGACCAGGGTCACTTGCTTCCTTGTTCTTGGCTTCTGGGTCTCCACGAGGCCCTATAAACACAACTGTAAATGCTCCTTGAGCAACGGCTCGCGGTCGCACAAACTTCATGTTGATGCGCCACGGCCGCCTCTGGGTATGGATGGCCCTTGGTAGGCCCAAAACCTGCACCGTTCTCGCAGCCTTGATTGATCTACTCCACGAGCTCCCCATACCCTCTAACCATCACTGCATGGTGCGGTGGTGGATTTCAAGCCGCGAGACCGCATAAGATAGAATCGTGAGATTCTTTACACAACTACCTCCAGGAGGCGGTGGGGGTCGTGCACACACACCTTTTCGGTGGAGCCTTGACCTTGAGGCATGGACCGTTTGGAGGAATCATGCCAGGAAACGAGCAAGACCATCCCAACCAGAGCAGAGGGTGTAAAACGGTCTACTTTACACAACTAAAGTCCTGCTCAAGCATACAACTGTATGCTCGCATAACCCTTCTGGACTCTAATAACCTGTACAAACTGTGGCCCACAGGCCATCTACACGCAGCTGTCGGGCGCAGAGGCGCCATTGCCTGCCGTCGCCACTTCCTGCATGATGACCCGATGGGCGTATCTTCGTGCAAAGGCAAGTAGAAGTGGTAGTTTCCATAATGGAGAAACCCGAATATCGTCATCCACATCAATACTACCTTTTTTATTGGGGTCCCAAAATGGTACTCCGAATTTTGTTAGGAAACCCTCATCACTGCAAATCCCCAGTTCCCATTTCACGTTCCATCTTCTTTGCCACTTGGTTGTCCATTGTTGAGGTAGCATCCCTGTATAACCCCTATCAAGTGGAATGGAAGGATCTGAAGTCTTGGGCCTGGCACCACGTCAAAAAATCTGCGGCCTCCCAAACTTTGGGAAAGCGAGGTAAAGGAAGGTGGGGTATGGGAAAGAAGCCCCAACATAATGGAGTCTACAATAGGGGCCCTTTACCCCACCTGCCTTCATCCCACTTTCTGATCCCCCTGAGATCATGTTGCTTTCTGCAGGCACATCTTTGTATAAACAATGGTGGCTCTACCACTAGGACCCGCAACGGGTGACGCATCAAGAAAAATGATAAGCATCAAGAAAATTGACCAAAACATAAGCACAAAATAAGCAACTTGCGCACGATATCAAAAAGAACTTGATAAAGCATCAAGAACAAATTTGAGGATAGCTGTACTATACATTAGCAAGAACAAAGTGAATGGGGAATAGTAATACTCACAGTACGAATACGGATACTACGTACACTGGTTGCAGTACCGATAAGAACAATAGTTGGAAAGAGACTACGGCTCAAATCATGTTTGATGCTTGGAAATTTTCCTTGATGCCTTATTAAAAATACTTTTCGAGGCCTATGCCTCAGGCGGCTATGTAGACTGACAGAGTACTGATGCCTGCGGTTTAAGGTATTAGGGTCGGGAGTGGAGAAGCACATGCAAATCAACATGTAACATGAAATGTACACTACTACTGACGGCTTTCGGGTAGGAGATGGTGAGCCGAATGGAAAAGGACATGGAAACTATATCCGCAACCCATGAGACAGAGCTGGGGGTTTCCAAAACTGGGAGGATACCGCATGAGCAGCTCCACAAGAAGGATTATAGCATTTTGGGGCCCATATTGTGGTCCCCCTAGACGCTAGACTCTAGAACCCAAAACCCCCTAAACGCTAAACCCTAAAGCCCTAAAAC